AAATTTTCTCAAATAGCGCCATCGCCGAAGAAATGCCTCATACATCACTCTATTGCTATAATTCCCCCCCCCCCTCCTTCCGTCCAAACAAATTCGCATTACTATCTTGACTGCCAATGGGCCACTCAGTGAAAATAAACCTTTGCTTTGCAGTCCACATGAAAGCCCCTATGCGAAAAACTGTTTCTCAAAAGCGCTTTTAAAGGGTTCCTCCCTGGGGCCGTAAGGTATGCTTCCCCGAAGGGTTAGGGGACGAAAGTTCCTTTAAATTTTCTCTGTAGTCCCAACTGGGATTGTCCTGATAAAGGGCCTACATCTAATATATGTGTGTAGCTTAAAGTAAGCATGCATTGAAAATAAAGAAACAGTATCGTTCAAAACAAAAAAATTAAAAGGGACTTTCGTCCCCGCAACCATTCGGGGAAGCATACCTTACGACCCCTGAAGGGTAACCTTGCTGGATTATACATGCAGTAACGCACCACATGCCTTTCGCTCCATTCCAGTACATTTACATAGCGCTTTGTAAACCGATCAACTTGACAATCATGGGAAATGAAGTTAAAAAGGAGATATTTCCGAGTATTCAGATCTGCGTTCACAATTTCACAGATCAAACTAAAATCTACGTGGAAGGTAGAATGTTATATTTATTTTATTAATTTATTTTTTTATTCGCATTATTTTCTTCACCAGATGTGCTGGTTCTTTGCTAGACGCTTGTCTCACTCCAACGTAATAAATAAACAATAAACAATAACAATAAAAGGTAAGGATCTAACAACGAGTGTTCAGCACTGCGGATGGCTTTATGGAAAATTGGCTGTTTTGGGGGTCTACATAAAAGAGAGAATCTTCAGCAGATTTTGAGACATTTCCTACAGATGTAGTGTAACCAATTAATGTAAGAGGCTAAAAATCATCATTCTACTCCACTCTTCACTGAAGAAAGGCGTCCATCAAGGCCATTGGACAAATTCAGTCAACACCAAATTTAACGAAGTCACAGCATGGCGCATCACGAAAGACTAAATTGATAGACGACTTTTTATCGATTCCTTTTCTGACTACATTTACAAAGTTCAGCAATAGTTTACATTATTCAAGCAGCTTATGATTCCGTGGGTTTATGAGATCGATGATAGGTAATCGCTAGATACCAGCCCGTCAAGATATCAGCTCGTCAGCAGATTCACTCGTTTCTCCTAGTCGTCAAGACTCCGCCGCGTCCTCTTCGTTGCATGACCTGAAAATCAACAGGGATTCATACTTTTTGCGACTGTGTAGCTCACTTCCAACAATGCAAGCAAAAAAAATTCAACACGAACGAGAGCCCACTGAAATAAGGGTGAAGCTTGTCAGTGGGCAGGGATGAAGAAAAACTGTCTAGAACCCTAGAAATGGGACCCATTTTTGCACATTGATTTGCGCGTAAGGCGTGTCTTATGAATGCTGACCTCATCAACGCAAATACTCCCTCTGCCAGAGAGGCTACAGTAATCGGCGAGGGGATGGGCGGAGAGCGACGCGAGCGGTGCGGGTATGGCCCTGCTAGGCTATTAGGGAGCGGGCATTCGCTGCGAAACTCGCATGGTCCTCATCCTTAGAGGGATGGGGCGCCTGCCTTTTCACTGGGTGTATTCCTTCTTCGCTTCCGACCTCATCGTAAATTCCAACTCAAAAAGTGCCATTGTGAGAAGGCTCGGGATGCCACTGTGATTTGGATTGATCGTCTTACCATCTCAGTCTACCTGATGTTTCCAATCAGGGAGGAACAAAGTGCTGAAAAGGAGCCCAGATCGAATCAAAAGTTTGCACCCGGGAGACTATCTGAGTTAGCAGCCACACCGAAATGATTCCATCAGCATGACGAGAATACAAGAACATCGAGGGGATAGAGGAGAGGAAGAAGAATATCCGGCTATGTTCCTGCCTTAGCCTGCCCTTTAAACTTGAACTTCGCGCGAGAAGGACAAGCATGCGGTCAACGTTATCCAACGCGCTGTCGAGAGGACGATGCTAGGAGTAACCCTATACACGCAAGTGCAGAGGGGAATCCGGAGTGCCGAACTACGCCAACGATCGAAGATCAGGGACGCTGCCGTTTTTCGCCAAGGAATCGAAGATAAGGTGGGCCGGACACGTCATGCGATTTTGCGATGACCGTTGGACCAGAGCGGTTACCGACTGGATCCCTCGGGACGTCAAACGAACACCTGGACGACCGCCGGTATGGTCAAACTCTTCACAAAGGTTAAGCTGTATGTTACTCGAGCGAGGAGGACCATCACAGCCCTCTGGCACGCAGTAAGGTCCAATGGAGACGTTTTTGACATCTGTTCAAGGAACTCGATGAACAACGGGGCGACAGATGATACCAGGTGACCTGATCAGGGCTAGCCGACTTTTCGCGCTCAGAAAAGGGCCACTATGTTGGCATGATGTGGAACTATACCGATATGGTCCCGGACTAGATTTTTTCTTCGAATCTGAACTTCAACCCTCGAGGCGAATACTTATGGAGTAACGATAGAATGGATCTCTCATAGGATCCTTGCTTTTCTTCGATCAGGCCTTCGAAGTATTTCCATTTTGCCCGACGACTTCCACCATATAAGCCAGTAAGGTACGGTACCATTGTTAGGGCCTCCCAGCAAGGTTTTCCCTCCGTGAATTAGCGGTTATTTCAAGATTTAGGCAGAAGATGCAATGGGTAAGAAGGAAACTCACATCACCCAGACGTAACCGCTTGAACTGTCGGATAAACAACGTGACGTAATCGACATCCAACCTGTCGTCAAAAACGTGACCACCGCTGCAGCCGTCATGTACAATTGGCCGATTTATGCTGCTTTAATAACGCTTCCAAACTGCAATTCATTATCAGATCGAGACCAAGGTTTTTTTTAATAGTCCTTTAATGGAATCATTACTCGAGACATTTTTGGGTTGGGCGGATCAATACCGTACGGTACTGCTTTTGCGATCAACGACATCATTCGATCGTTTTGAATTTCAGTATTCTTCTTTATGAGGTTGTCGTACAGTGCCGTTAGAGGCCCTGGCTCGACCACTACAAAAGAGTTAATGTAAACGTCGGTAAAATTAGACTTGCCTCAAAGTCTCCTGATTGAAACAAGAAAAGAAAGCTAGACATCCATTAAATACAAGGAAATACACCCATCTAACCCACGGCCGAAGAAAATGAGATGTTCGTCCGAACAACCCCAAGCGTGATCTTCTATTTCCAGTGATATTGTGCAGTCATACTTTACAGAGCCGACACAGGCCTATGAAGGCTCCAACAAAGCCAATCCTTTGATATGGATGGCGGGGGGAGGGGAGGATGATACGGGGTGGGCGTAGCAGAAGGTGCACGCCAATGAATGCGAACAGGAAGTGGTCAGTGCATCGCTCTGTTCTAACCAATCACTTGACGTAGCAAACCTACGAACGCGTGAATAGATAGCAAAGTAGATGAAAGCGTGCAGCGATCGTACTTGGGCTGTGATCACCCGAGAAACGGATATTTTGTCAACAATGACGTTGATCGGTTATCACTCCACCCGTTGGCATTGCACACGACTTTCTCTACAGAAGCGGCATGGGGCTTTTTAATGGTTTGCTTTGCGATAGCTGCGTGCTAAGAAGCTACTCCACCTACTCAATAAGGAGAGCATTTCATTTAACTCCGGCGCTTTCAAAAAGTTTATTGATGATAACTTAGAACCGTGATTACTTCCTGTTATTGTCTCTCATCTCATCTCTTAACTACTAACTTTTTTATTTTTATTTTTTTTTTTTCATAACGTCGGAAACAGTAATGCGAAGTGGGCCACTGCAGAGAAAAGGAAAGAATCCGTCACCGTGCAAAATTTCTGAGGGGTCGCCTTTCGGCTGAGTGGCGTATCTCACCAGGGAAGGCGTTCAACCTTCTCCATAACAATTTGAGTTAACACCCAACAGACGATCGAGCCTTCTAACGCTGATTACAAAATATGGGAAACAAACGCAAAATGGCCTGCAAACAACTGCAGGGCAGCTTTCAAAATCAGCGATGAAATAGACGACGTTTCATAATAACCGCTTTGTTACTCCGTCCGAGCAATCTCACTCCCGCCTGTGGAGTAGTGATAGTGATCTCGAATTTGACATAAACGTGAACAACCCATGACCTACGCTTACCCGGCTGAGAGCCAAGAAGCATTTACCTGCTACTCCACGGCGCAGCTTTGAAAAGCTTGAAGGATTGGCGTGCGCTCATGTAGAACGCTTTAATCTCACGAGCCAAAGTCGCCACCTGCTCGAACTTATCCTTGCAAGCTCAATTTGCCGTTGCTAGTTTCGCACGTACTCTGTAAATCAGTCGTTGGAAATTCTGTCGTCCAAACCTTGGTAGGATTCGAAGTTTCCCGTGGGAAGTTGAGCCTTCCCTGTTAGCCTCGGACAGTGCCCCAGGCCAATGAGAAAAGGGTGAGTGCGAAGGAGAGAAGGATAATAAAAACAGAACGAATAAGAGAGCTCAGACATCAACATGCTTGCTGGAGGCCCGCAAAATTAAGGGGCAAAAGGCGTTCCTACAAGTCCACCGCCTTTCCGCCCTTTCCAAGAAGCGGGGAAAGAAGACCATCCGCCGACTCTTCCGTGAGTGTTGCTCTCCCACCCGGCATCCACACGATTCTCTCCATATGAGCTCATCCTTGGTACCCTTAATGCGAAAATTTATTTTAAAAAGTAAACAAGTTTAAACGAATTGGTATTGATTGGGTGAATGATCAACTAAATCAGACAAGTTTAGGCTAGATATCCTCTGCGAGAACGATCTGACCGAGGCTTGCGCGGACCAGTTCATTCTTGGCTCGTCGCCAAGAGCATCAAATGACAGCATCGATTACGGTTAAAGGCTTCAGTGGAATAATATATTCTACGAGCATAACTTAAATGAGAATAAGTTTTAATCAGCTCTCGAATAATTAATATTTTTATGTCGTCCCACTGTTATGACTTTGCTCAGGCCGGAACAAATTTCGCATCCCACATCGTCCCACGTGGAATTGACCACTTCAGTACAACGAAACTCTGTTCCAGTTGATGTCCAAGTTCTTTCTATTGCAGTGAGTCCTTTCTGAATGAAAATTGATATTTCAAACTTGAGTCTGAATGCGCTGCCATGACAATTCACCGTTTCGCACAAAATTCGAAGAAAAAAGAAAAAATGGTTGTGGGTGTGTATGAAGAAATGTGAGATGTATAGATGCCCGGGCGAACCTCTCCCTCCGACCTCCTTTAGAACTTGGAAAGGCCTGACCTGATCACTCGTGAGCCGCGCCCCTGTGCAGTTGAAAATATTCACTTGACTGTTATTTTAATGGCGATCAAGCGATATAAATACGCCCGCCGGGCCCCTTTTTTTTTTTGAAATGACCCCACAGGACGACATTTGTGGAATCGCGCACCAAGAGTTGTGTAGAGTCGCCTCCCAACGCCCTTCCCCCACTTACCCCAGAAGGTTCCGCTTTTAGCCATTGCAGCCTGCTGCTTCCAAGCTACCTTCCAGTCCTTCTAATCTCAACTAGAAAAATTTAAATTGCCCATGCGCATTGATTTAGTCGAGACTAAATTCGGGATTCAACCCAAGCTCGTAAGAGCGCTAAAGACGCCACTTGCCTCTGCGCCATCCGAACAAGTCTGAATAAAGATGTTGAATTTTTGTCATTTTCAATGAAAATCCAACTATTCAGGCTGGCGAAAAGAAACGCTTGACTGTGAGTGGTCTTGAGGCGAATGACGTGTACGATATCCGTCGATGTGTAGAAATACGGCTACCAACATCATTAACACAGGATCAACGATTCAGTTTTGGCAACACGACTAGCCGGCTGTGCTCTGAAGAAGGCTATCGGACACTCCCGAACGCAGCACGAATACCGCATCCACTTTGGATTACGGTAGCCGCGATGATATTGTGTGTTTTTAGGTAGTCATATGAAGATTTCGCCCACAAGGGGCAGCTTACCCATATGAGTTCTGTTCAATGCCGGTATTCCATGAGATGTTTAAAGGAGATTTTGTTACAGAATTTCACTTATATTTGTAAATTACTGCTCATGGGCGTTCAATAGTGAGCCCTTTTCCGCTTACCATCTCAGTTCCTTTTCCTCAAATCAAAGTACTAGGCTTTCAAAATATTCTACGAATAAATATTAAATATTGAGCATGAGTTGAACATATTTCTGATGTGGTGAACTTAATTTTCCTGTTTGTGAAATTGGTTGGAAGAATAAATTGTCCAAATGAAAATATATCAGAAACCTAAACTGGCCGCTACAAGTTGAGTCAAGTCTTATTCCAGGTGGACTGCGCTTAGGTTTTTCTCCAAGCCGAAACTGATCGTTGACCAATTCTTAACGGAAGGTGTGACAGATCTGGTGGTGTTTCGCTTTATGAAAGACAGGAGGGTGGTTTAGGGCAACAGCGTGTTAACGGAAACAGCAGGGTGAAATATACTCCCTTTCAAAAAACGAGAAAGTGTCGGGTGCAGACCATACACCACAAGTGACGACGGCCTCCACAAAATGTAATGTTTTCTGCCAATGAAATGATTAGCCTGTTGCAGTTGTATTCTATCAGTTGTTGTCACTAATTACAACTATCATTTACCAAAATCAGCTATCACTATGAACCACTACTAACCAGATTTACTTGGAGGCCGTCGTCACTTGTGGTGTATGGTCTGCACCCGACGCTTTCTCGTTTTTTGAAAGGAAGGGTAGGCATTTGTCGTTGCCAATTCATTTCTTCGGGCGCACCTTGTGGCCAACACCTATTCTGACATTAGTGACATTTGAAAGCCACGGTCTAATCAATATCGTACACAGATCTGTGCTTCTGCTAAATCAATACTACAAGTCAGGCAGAAATCCTTCCTCAAATGGTATTTCCATGAGCGCTCCTTAGTATTACACATAATATAATAGTAAAGTACTATTTCGGGCTGCATGCCCGCCAGGGCCTTCACTACAGGGTGTCCCAAAATTATGGGCGCCTACACACAGCAATATATTTCAAGCTTCTAAACGGACGATGCTGACTGAATTAACACATAAGGTAAATTGCATCATCCCCAACAATGTGGAACAACTAAATATCGAAATACCCTCCAACGCGACTAATGCAAGCTCGAAGTCGCTTCTTAGGCTTCGCGCACGTTGCACGCAGGAATTCCTCGTCTATTTCTTCTCAGGCTTCCCTTCAATGTTCCTTCCAGTGACTCAAACTGTGACGAAGAACTTGACACACCTTACTTTCGCTCAACGACCACACTAAGAGGTGAGGTGGGCGCGAACCTGGTGAAAATGACGGCCGTTCCTCGGTGCCAGCAAAGTCGGGCAACTGAACTCGGCACCACACTTGGAGGAACTTGGCCATGTAGGCCTGAGCACTTTTCTGCTGGAAACAACTCGGGTTATTTCCAAGGTAGGGCTCGTGCCGAGCCTTCATTACGTTCACCTCATTTCCAGATTTGCTGATTAACCTTACCGAAATCCACAGAAAAGTTATACGATACCACTGGACGTGTGTGTTCCTTTAAACCGAAATTGAGACCAAGTTCGGTGATTTGCAAACAATCTTTTAGCGTGGAGTAGCACTCCTGACATTTCTGCCCGAAATGCAATCTCTTTCTGGCTATTGCCAATCCGCTCTGCTATGGAAATTTTTTCCTCATAAGAAAGGGTGGTAGGGTGCGTGTCCTCACTGAGGCGGGTGAGCAACCTTCTGCAATCTTTGACCCTCTGTTGCTTGTTGATATCGAAAATGAGCTGACACTCCTGCATATGGTAGGAACGACTATGTAGTTCTTCATTGACTACCTTTCCCATCGATGACTTCCGATTCCTCCAGCTCCTCGACGTCTCTGAAGCGCTCGTGGTGCGCATCAATTGGAGAAGAACCTTTCAGACACCCTTCCGGGCAGAACGGCCAGCCTTCCTACCTCTCTTAGGCCTATGCATAATGGACGCTGTTTCCTAGTATCGTAGGATAACCTTCCGTATAACCCTTGTGGAAACTACAAAATATTTGACATTGTCCTTCATTGGGGTATCCACCTCGTGCATGCGAATGATCGCAGGTCGCAGTGAAAGACCTCCCGCCCTCCTGAAGATAGTAGGATTTCACACCTACAATCAAACAGGTTACAAGAGGACCTTTGTGTGTAACTAATCATCAGCAAATGAAGGGAGAATAATCGAGTACTTTTGCCAAACAAATTTTTTGAATTTCGGCGCCCATAATTTTGGGACACCCTGTATATCTCAGAGAGCTGGTTAGGCAAAATTTGAGACAGGGGGAACCATAGGTCGAGATGTACAAAGCACACACATGAAAACATATCCACGATACCAAGCTGCAACGCTAGAAGCTTAGCCATACGTAATGCTAGGCCATTTATGCTCTGACCCTTCACAGCGTACGGCGTGCGTTACCGATTCCTCACTCAAGACCGAAGGTAGGGGGATGGTGCGGGAGCCTTAATCGACTTTCTGAAAGTATGAAGGAGCGCTATTCAGTGATGAAATAGCAGCTTTTCGATGGTGTATTTTTGGAAAAGGATAGGAAAGATGAACCGAAGGGGAAGTTCCGCCTGCCGTGGTCGGCATGCCCCAAACTTGACCGTGTAGGAGGAACAAATTTTTAATCCCGTTATGTGAACTTACTAGGAAAAGTGGGTGAAGGCGACAAGAGGGCTCCCCAATGAGAATTACTTCTCAATGAGACTAATGCGATCAATTTACCTACTTGAGTGGGATATACTCCAGCTGGGCAGTACTTTTTTGCCCAAATTCATAAGGCGGTCTTGCTAGAGATCAGGGAGAACTGAATGATACAAGCAACGTACAAGATAAGCTGAATGTGCCTTGGATAAGAGGAGCCCCTGCGATGGGTGAGGCACGCCCTTACCATGATGGAGCCCAGAACAAATACAAAAATTCCCAACTTGGTTCCAATAGTTTTACTGGGAAATCGGTGTAAAATGGGCAGCGGTTAACAAAGGGAAACAGCTTGTATGTTCTAAAAAACTGGCAAACACCGAAGTTAGCGAGTCTGAGAACGGGCAGTGGGGTTAACGAATTCTAGAGTTCGCCTTTGCCGCCCCTTTCAGGCGCATGCTTCTTGTGGGTCTTCTCTCTATGAGCGGAAACGGTGAAGTAACAAGGGGTGCTTCACGCGCATAGTCTGCCAGTCAATCCTGGATTTTGCCCGTCCAAGCCAGGGCCCTCAAACCCTTCGGGATTGATTAACTGGCATCAATTCCCCGAGTACGAGCGAATAAAACACTGACCCAATCCCAACCCAAAATTAAAGTAGTTATTACTATAAAATATATATTATAAGCAAAGTTACAAATGTTGAAAGAAGTAAATATTTCAAATAAAATGAAGTAAAACAAGAAGTAAAGTGTATTGTACAACGATTGGCCTACGAAAGTCATTGTGTACACCAAGTAGCCGTTCAAACAGCCGCTACATTTCCTAATGGACGTAGAATGCTTGGCGCACACCAAAAATGGACTGGTCAACACCGAGTGCTTATCCTTCGTTTTCTCCTTTTATCTGACTGAAACATGCCTTCTTTGGAAAATTCACTTCAACTCGATGCAGGAAAGGCTTCGAAGCTGAAAAAAAAACTTCGAAGCAACAGTCCGAGCAGGGTTTCAACCGTCCGACTCAAAGAGGTGGAAAGACTGACTACCCCTAGTCAAGTACATAGGAAGTGTCACTTATTTGAAAATTCACCTTTGGAAGTCGTTAGAAGGACGTCTAACGCCTTCGAAGTGGGAGGGGCTTACCGATTTTGCGAGGCCACGCCCACTTGCCGGTTGTGGAGAGCGCGATTGGCTGGGGAGGCATTTGCGGTCGTTTTGGGATCACAGGACTATTTGAGCTCGATCCTTTAAAGCAGTCAATGTAGTGATGCCGACTGCGCTAGATTTCTACTTTCTACCTTCTACCTTCGGTGCTAACTTAGTTGGGGGGGGGGACCACGCGGCGGCGCGGCGCTCTGTTCGTCTGCTCCTCTAAGGCTTAGTCCAAGGGGCAGTTACTATTTCGTCGCCACGTGGCAGTTTCGAAATACGCGCCATCGGCAGACTAACAACTAAGCCTTGGAGGAGCAGACGAACAGAGCGCCGCGCCGCCGCGTAGCCCCTCCCCCCCCCAAATTGTTGCTGTTAATACGCCACATTCAGTAGTGTAGCTGCGCGCTCCAGTGCCAACGTGGATTACGGTAGCGGTCACTCACCGGACTGTTAAATCCGGCTTGTAAGTAGGAGTGTTAGTGCCACCAATATTTCTGACAGATGAATGGCGGGAATGTGATTGCTTTACATTCTTTCTACTCTTTGGCATTGTTTATAAACTAACGCAATTTTTTCGTTCCCCTTGTAGAGTATGGGCAATCGATTTATAGGGGATATAGAATATGCTTCTCCCCGAGGATGCCCTTAACATTCGCCTCTAACAACCTTATAGAGAAAACAGCAGCCGATATCCTTTCCTTTAACACTTGACGACAGCGCGGCAACTATGTATGCCGCCATTTTTGCACCTCCATGGACATTGTGGCAACTATGTATGCCACACCAGTTACATTTATTTTTTGCGCACATGCTCGATTTCTTCCTGGTTTTTTGTGTTCATTTTATAGGTCATACATCAACATAACCAAGAACCACGTGGCTTACAGAATGACCAATTATTCTTAAGTTTGGCAGAGGTTTTCCGGACCTGACGAAAATATCCGTTCAATTCATTCCTCATTTTCTTTTCATTAAACGAACATGTGATAAAAAAGAATATTAGAAGTGAATACAAAACTACTCGTGTGGCAAGATATGTGTTTTTACTGAAACAACCACGTCCAAATTAATTTTGGAACCACTAAAGGGAAAGTAAGTAAAATTTGCCTTTTCATGGCCTTA